AAAAACCCCAATTTTTTGTTTCATTGGTCTTCTGTACTGTTCTTTTTTTTTTTTTTGAGATGGAGTCTTACTCTGTCACCCAAGCTGGAGTGCAATGGCACGATCTTGGCTCACTGCAACCTATGCCTCCCTGGTTCATGCAATTATTCTGCCTCAGCCTCCTGAGTAGTTGGCACTACAGGCATGTGCCACCACACTTGGCTAATTTTTCTATTTTTAGTAGCGATGGGGTTCCACCATATTGGCCAGGCTAGTCTCAAACTCCTGACCTCGTGATCCATCTGCCTCAGCCTCCCAAAGTGCTGGGATTACAGGCATGAGCCACTGCTCCTGGCCTGTATTGTTCTTTTAATCTCAATTTCATTTATTTCTGCTCTGATCTTTATTATTTCTTTCCTTGTATCAATTTTGGGTTTGGTTTGTTCTTTCTTTTCTAGTTTCTTGAGGTGCATCTTTAGGTTGTTTATTTAAAGACTACTTTTTTTTTGATATAGGTGTTTATTATAAACTTCCCTCTTAATATTGCTTTTATCGTGTCCCATAGATTTTGTATTCCCATTTCCGTTTGTTTCAATATATTTTAAACTTTCAATCTTAATTTCTTAATTAACCCATTGGTCATTTGGGAATATGTTGTTTCATTTCCATGGGCTTGTGTAGTTTCCAAGGTTTTTCCTGTTACCGATTTCTAGTTTCATTTCATTGTGTTCAAAGAAGACACTTGATACAATTTCTATTTTTTGAATTTGTATAGACTTGTTTGTGGTCTAAGATATGGTCTATTCTGAAAAATGTTCTATGTGCTGATGAAAAGAATGTGTATTCTTCAACGGTGGGTATGTTCCATAAGTGTCAGGTCTACTAGGTCTAGTGTGTAGTTTAACTCCACTATTTGTTGATTTTCTGTTGGGATGACTTGCCCATTGTGGAGAGTTGGATGTTAAAGTCCCCACTATTATTGTATTGCAATCTATCTCTCACTTTAGGTCTATTAATGTTAGCCTTATAAATTTGGGATCTCTGGTGTTGGATGCATAGATGTTTATAATTGTTATATTCTCTTGCTGAATTGACCCTTTTATCTATTTTTTTTTTGAGATGGAGTTTCACTCTTGTTGCCCAGGCTGGAGTATCTTGGCTCACTGCAACCTCGGCCTCCTGTGTTCAAGCAATTCTCCTGCCTCAGCCTCCCGAGTAGCTGGGACTACAGGCATGCACCACCACACCCAGCTAATTTTGTATTTTTAGTAGAGACAGGGTTCCTCCATGTTGGTCAGGCTGGTCTTTTTTTTTTTTTTTTAAACTAAAAAAAGAAAGAAAGAAAGAAAGAAAGAGAATGAAGGAGAGGAAGAAAGAGAAAGAGGAAGAGGGAGAGAGAACGGGGGTATTGCTTTACTGCCCGGGCTAGAATGCAGTCTATAAACGGGTATGCCTATAATTGTGCTTAATAATAGAGACATGAAAAAAAAATGAGGAAAGAAATAACAAACAGGCAGCCAACCAATATTTCATTGAAACCTGTAAATAGATGTGATGTGGTACTGATAAGAGTGTATATTTTGTGTATTTAAAGTGGAGAGTTCTATAAATGTTAATTAAGTTTACTTGTTCCGGATCTGAGTTCAAATCCTGGATATCGTTGTTAATTTCCTGTCTCATTGATCTGTCTAATATCGATGTTGAAGTCTCCCACTATTATTGTGTGGGAGTCTAAGTCTCTTTGTAAGTCTTATATATCTGGGTATTCCTGTATTGAGTGCATATATATTTAGGATCTTTAGCTCTTCTTGTTGCATTGATCCTTTTATCTTTATGTAATATCCTTATTTGCTTCTTTTGATCCTTGTTGCTTTAAAGCAACTCCTGCTTTTTATTTATTTATTTTTGCTCTCCATTTGGTTGGTAAATCTTTCTCCATCCCTTTGTTTTGAGTCACTGTGTATCCTTTCAGGTGAGATGGGTCTGGATGCAGCATATCGATGGGTTTTGGCTTTTGTTGCCTGTCTGTGTCTTTGGATTGGGGGATTTAGTCGATTTAAATTTAGAATTAATAATAATATATGTGAGTTTAATACTGACATTTAATGTTAGCTGGCTGTTTTGCCCATTGATGTAAATTCTTGATTATGTTGATGCTCTTTACTATTTGGTATTTTTTAGAAAGGCTGATACTGGTTATTCCTTTCTATGTGTAGTGGTTCTTTCAGAAGCTCTTGTAAAGCAGACCTGGTGGTGACGAAATCTCTGAGTGCTTGCTTGTTCACAAAAGATTTTATTTTTCCTTCGCTTATGAAGCTTAGTTTGTCTGGATGTAAAATTCTGGGTTAAAAGTTCTTTTCTTTAAGGATGTTGAATATTGGCCCCCACTCTCTTCTAGCTTGTAGGGTTTCTGCTGAGAGATCTGCTGTGAGTCTGATAGGCTTCCCTTTATGGGTAACCTGACCTTTCTCTCTGGCTGCCCTCAGTATCTTCTCGTTCATTTCAACCCTGGTGAATCTGGCGATTATGTGCCTTGAGGTTGGTCTTCTTGAGGAATATCTTTGTAGTGTTCTCTGTGTTACCTGGAGTTGAATATTGTCCTGCCTTGCTAGGTTGGGAAAGTTTTCCTGAATAATATCCTGAAGTGTATTTTCCAGCTTGGATTGATTCTCTTCATCACATTCAGGTGCACCTATCAAGCACAGATTAGGTATTTTCACATAGTCCCATATTTCTTGGAGACTTTGCTTGTTCCTTTTTATCCTTTTTTCTCTAATCTTGTCTTCTCGTTTTATTTCATTAAGTTGGTCTTCGACTTCTGATATCTTTTCTTCTGCTTGATTGATTCGGCTGTTAAAACTTGTGCATAGTTCATGAAGTTCTTGTGTTGTGTTTTTCAGCTCCATTAATTCACTTATATTCCTCTCTAAATTGTGTATTCTTGTTAACATTTCATCAAACCTTTTTTCAAAGTTCTTAGTTTCTTTGCATTGGGTTAGAACAAGTTCTTTTAATTCACAGAAGTTTCTTATCATCCACCTTTTGAAGCCTGCTTCTGTTAATGGAACACGCTCGTTCTCCATCAGGCCTTGCTCCATTGCTGATGCGGAACTGTGATCCCCTGCAGAGGGAGAGGCGTTTTGAGTTTGGGTATTCTCAGCCTTTTTAGGCTGTTTTCTTCCCTTCTTTATAGATTTTTCCACCTGTGGTCTTTATAATTACCATCTTTATAATTGGGTTTCTGAGTGGACGTCCAACTTGTTGATTCCCAGTGCTAAAATCTGAGCAACCCACTGCGCCGGCCAAAACAGCAGTGTTATGATTGATGGTGCTTTTCTGACTCTGCACCAAGAACCGCCACACCAAGGCAGCGGCAAAACCGCCTCGCTGGCCACAACAGTTGCACGGGCGACCTGTGGGGCTCCTCCACTGGGAATCTCCTGGTGCGTGAGCAACAAAAATTTGTCTGAAAGTGTGGCATCCTCTTGTTCTCTGTGCTTTCACTGGGAGCTACAATCCTGAGATGCTAACGATCAGCCATCTTGGATCTCTCTCCCCTTCCTGCAGTTTCTGTGAGTCGGTCAGGCTGGTCTTGAACTCCTGACCTCAGGTGATCCACCTACCTCAGCCTCCCAAAGTACAGGGATTATAGGCATGAGCCACTGCACCCAGCCGACCCTTTTATCTTTATGTAGGTTACCCTCCTTGTTGTTTTTAGTCTTTGACTTGTAGTCTATTTATCTGTTATAAATATAGCTATATTCCCCCTCTTCTTTTGTTTCCAGTTGCATGGAATATCTTTTCCACTCCTTCATTTTCAGTCTCTATGTGTCTTTATAGGCGAGATGGATTTCTTGAGGGCAGCATATAGTTGGGTCTTGTTTCTTTATCCATTCAGCTACCTGGTGACTTTTTAAATTATTTATTTATTTATTTAGAGATGGAGTCTTGCCCTATCACCCAGGCTGGAGCACAGTGGCATGATCTTGGCTCACTGCAACCTCCACCTCCTGAGTTCAAGCAATTCTTCTGCCTCAATCTCCCGAGCAGCTGGGACTACAGGCATGAGCCACCATGCCCAGCTAATTTTTGTATTTTTAATACAGATGGGGTTTCACCATATTGGCCAGGCTGGTCTCGAACTCCTGACCTTTTGAGTCACCCACCTCAGCCTCCCAAAGTGCTGGGATTACAGGCATGAGCCACCGTGCCCTGTATTTATTTATTTTTATTTTTTTGAGATGGAGTCTCGCTCTGTCACCCAGGCTGGAGTGCAGTGGCTCAATCTCAGCTCACTGTAACCTCTGCCTCCCAGGTTCAAGTGATTCTCCAGCCTCAGCCTCCTGAGTAACTGGGATTATGGGCACACACCACCATGCCCAGCTAATATTTTTGTATTTTTAGTAGAGACAGAGTTTCACTATGTTGGCTAGGCTGGTCTGAAACTCCGGACCTCAGGTGATCCACCTGCCTTGGCCTCCCAAAGTGTTGGGATTACAGGCGTGAGCCACTGTACCCAGCTGAATCTTTAATGCTAGATTACTGCCTCCTTTTGGGCTCTAGGTGGCACCTTAAGCCCAGGTTCAACTTGGCTCTAGTAAATGGTCAGAGCACTGCCTGTCCCAAATAGGGGAGGTATCAAAGGGATTATCCTGGGAAGGCTGTCATGAATAGGGGTTCATGCCCAGGAGACCTGGAGGACATACTTCCTACAGCCACTCTTATGTCTCCTTTGGCTGAGTTACAGAGCAGAGTCCCACCTCCTCTGTTTCAGGGATATTTCAGGGATATGCCTGTCTTCAGGGATATGCCTGTCTTCAGGAAGTTGTGATACTACCCATGGGTTAAGCCAAGGACAGGTTTCTGGCTAGGGAACCCAAGAAGGTGGGGAATCTGTTTGACTACCTCAATTTTACTTTTTCCAGTGTAGAAACCATAAGTTGAGAGAGATTTTCCAAACAGTGGTTGCTTGGCAAAATGGAGGGAAGGGTATTACAGATGTGGAAGTTCTATTCTCCTACCATCTGCTCAGAGTGTTTCCACTTCTCTGTGACCTCAGGAATGGACTCATCCTCATGCTGGAGCTCTGCATTATTGCTGGTGGCGACCTCACTGCTGTATATTTCTTTCTCTCTTTTTGTTGCGGGGAGAGAAGCCAGCTTGCCTCTACGCCACCATTTTGGAAGACGAAACTCCTTAAGATTCTAAGTATAAAAACAATTTTGGTTATTTATTCTAATAGGTATCAAGATGTTAGAAGTTGGTACCTTTGATACATATGGAATATTGAGTTTCATGTGCTATAGCTCTGACCCATGTGAACTTTTTTACCTCGATTCAAGGGTAAAAATACGGATTTCAAAGCTATTGGTCCCAGAACATACTTCATTAAGTTATAACTCAGCACATGTAACACTATAATATTTATTTACAAAGTGTCTGTCCTTCTCTACTAGACCAAAGGCTTCTGAAAACAGAGACTATCTTTGTATTCCTAGGACCTAGGCCATTTCCTGGAATTGATAAGTATTTGTTGAATGAATAAGTAAAAGAATGAATGACTAGACAATTGAAAACGATTGTAGCTCAAGGAAAAACATAAATTACTAGATATCAAGCCACATAATTTGGCAGTTCTATTTTGACAAAATTGGCAAAAAACAAAACACCAAAAAACCCTCACATAGCTTGGAAATAATCACCTCACAGAGAACAAACAAGATGTAGATCTTATAGCAACAGTGATCAACAAGCAGGATCTACTGTTACGTGTCTTGGGAAGAAGCAACTAGTAGGTGATATAAACCAGAGAAGAAAGTAACCAGCCTCCATCTTGGTTTCAGAATATGATTCTGTTCACTGAAGTCCCTGTTGCTGACTTGCTTACGAGGCAGACAATAGATCTGGTCTGAACCTTTACTATTTTCTGCATCTATCTGCATTTGGCCACTTGTTTGCTTGGACTTTTGGAACATAATTGCTTTTCTTTCACTCAGACGCTCTCTTTAGGCTTGACTCTTTGCCATAGTAAACTTTGCTTTATTTCACTGAGCCTCAGATTTGCTTATCTTTCAGATGGGGCTAGAATCATACATGGCAAACAGGGCTGTTGAGAATGAGGCACACCTGTCAAAACTCTGAATATTTATTCAATCTCAAATATTTATGGAGTTCTTGTCCATAGATACAGGGATATATGAGATAAAATCCTTGCCCTCCAGGATCTCACTGCTGAGTTAATGAGATAGAGAAAAATAGGGGCAGTGACAATACGGTGTATTAAGGAAAAAGCTGTGAGGCATACATACATATGGAGATCACATAGGAGGAGATAATTTGCTAATATCTGGCCCAGTGAAGAGCAAAGCTGATCAAGAGCAGTCTCAGGGTCTGCTATCCTGGTGTGTAGCCAAAAGCCTCTTTGCCACAGCCTACCATGAGGCCAAGAGTAGGGCTACAGCTATATAATGACAACGGGAAGAGACGGCACAGCAGCCGTAGCAACCCGAACTTCACATTAAAGGCCCAATAGGAAGCACACATCTTACCTCTCCTCTGCGAATATGAATGCTCCTTATAATTCGCTCTAAGAAGCCAATCTGCTGTGTGAGACGAAGACTATTTTCACGTAATTGCTTATTTTCTTTATCCATGTAAAGTACCCTAAGAATGGCATAAATCAATGGCATGATTAGAAATTTTTGTGTCATTACTAAAAACCCCAAATTCCTAGATCTTAGACCACTGTCCCTTAGACCACCATTTTAGAAGCAAGTTTGCCAGAATAATTCCCACCATATTCCAAGACCAAGTGTGATGGTTAATACTGAGTGTCAACCTGATTGGGTTGAGTGATACAAAGTATTATCCTGGGTGTGTCTGTGTGGGTGTTGCCAAAGAGATTAACACCGGAGTCAGTGGTCTGGGGAAGGCAGACCCACCCTTAATCTGGTGGGCATGATCTGATTAGCTTCCAGAGAATATAAAGCAGGCAGAAAAACGTGGAAAAGAGAGACGGGCCTAGTCTCCTCCCAGTTTACATCTTTCTCCGGTGCTGGATGCTTCCTGCCCTCGAACATAGGACTCCAAGTTCTTCAGTTTTGGGAGTCAGACTGGCTCTCCTTGCTCGTCAGCTTGCAGACAGCCTATTGTGGACCTTGTGCTCGTGTTAAGTTAATACTTAATAAACTCTCCTTTATATATATACTCCCCTTTACTTATATATCTATATAGGGGAGTTTATTGTGTATATATACATACATACATATATATATATACATGCACACACACATATATATACACATATATATATCTGCTATTGGTTCTGTCCCTCTAAGAGAACCCTGACTAATACACCAAGTAAAAGTTAATAAGCTTTTGGGCTGTACATGGTTATTAAATACAGGTACAAGAGTATTAAAGGCATAATTCTACTCCTTGAAAAATGTAAGGGAGGATATGATCCCATTTAGGGGTGGGAATGAAACAAGAGAGACTCAGTATCCTCAAATATTGTAGCTACATAGCTTGTATCTGGTTCCCTTCTCATACTGATCTGATTCTGATTTCTTGTGAAGTAGAAATAGCAGCAGCAGAAGAAGCAGCAACCATGTTTCAAGTCCTTGCTGTGTATTTACGCAATATAACCTACCCACACCATAAGCCCTTAAAACTTTTCATGTATTAGCTCATTTAATATGCTAGCAACCTGATGAAATATACATTGTTGTGACAAATTTGAGCCTCAGTTTCCTTAGCCATAAAATGAGGAAATATTCCTTGGAAGAAACTTACTCTAAGGAAAACATTCAAGTCCAATCCAGGTGACTGTGTCATCAGTAGGGCAAGATAGAAAGATTATTAACATTAACGCAAAGGTAATGAGTTAATTGTGTTGGCTCCTGACTGTCAGAAGCTATGACAGTTTGAGAAGAGCAATCAATGATTTATACGGGACATCTAAAAGGGGAGACAGAGAGAGTAAAAGATCCTCAGAGATTCTCCAAGCCTGCCCGGAGGAGTGTGCCCAAAGCAGTGGACAACAACATTCCAGTCTGCTTGGCAGACTCTCCCCAGGCTATGGTGCTATGGTCTAGGCCAGGCTGCTGAGGTCCACATTCTGCTCTGTCACTGACTGGGCTGGGTGAGTTCTCTCACCTCTCTAGACCTTGGCTTCCTATCCATAAAATAAGGCTAATAGTGCCTCTGTCCTGGGATTGGTATCAGGATTAAATGAATGGAAGAGCTTAGAACAGTACCTAGCATATAGTAATTGCTCAGACAAATCTTATTCCAATTATTGGTAACATTATCTGTTAACATCAATCCACTCTCTTTGATTATAATTAAATAAAGTCTCCTATGAAAAAGAGAATGCTCAGGCTGGCTGACATGGCTTATTTTCTGCTTATAATATTTCTCATTAAAAATTAACCCACTGGTATCCTGTGGATTTCATGAATTTAAGTTACTTCTGTGAGATTCTCTCTTGTTCGAGCTTGATTCCACTGGTATCAAAGAATAAAAATGTAGGCCAACACACACAAAATGACAGGTCAGAATGCACACAGCCAAGTTCTCAGTGAGGCAACGACATTACAAAACAGCCTATCTAAATAGCCAACCAGCCTCGTCCATGATATTCTTCTCTATAATTTAACAATTTCTGCCACTGGTATGATCTGCTGAAAACAGCAGACAGCAGAGAGCGAGTTATAGGCTAGGCTACAAACTCAAAGGACGGTCTATAGAACCATCTCTTTGTTGAGGGAGAAACATCCTCTTGTGGAGTTTATTGGCTCCCAGGCAGGATGGCACCTACCTGCTTTGGATTGAAGATATCGTCCATTTGTTGCTGTGGATCAAACGTTCTTGCTCTATGACTTGCTCCAGAAGTTTCCTTTTTTCTAAAATCAGGGTATCATTTTGGGCAGTGATCTGGTCCTGTATTGCCTTCTCCTAGGGATTAGAAAGTCTCCTAATTACTACAGCAGGAGAAAGAATTATAAATTTAAGAGCATCAGCTGGTTTCTAAATCTAGAAGATATTTTCCTTTATTTAATTTTTTTTCCTGTCCCCTAGTCTTTTTCTACCTGTTTGCTGACATTGTCATTCATTGTAGCTAGTTTGTCAATTTTCGAGAGGTTATTTTATGTCATGTATTTTTTTTTTTTCTTTTTCATGACCCTGAAAGTAGTGAGATTATGCTTTTTGTTTGTTTGTTTTTGTTTTTTGACATGGAGTCTTGCTTTGTCACCCAGGCTGGAGTACAGTGGCGGAATCTCAACTCACTGCAACATCTGCTTCCGGGTTCAGCCTCAGCTTCCTGAGTAGCTGGGGTTACAGGCATCCACTACCACACCCAGCTAATTTTTGTATTTTTAATAGAGACAGGGTTTCACTATGTTGGCCAGGGTGGTCTTGAACTCCCAACCTCAAGTGATCCGCCTGCCTCAGCCTCCCAAAGTGTTGGGATTACAGGTGTGAGCCACTGCGCCCAGCCAGTGAGACTATTCTTGCAGTGATAATGCTGAAATGATTTCTAGCCTGATACCATATTTTATTTTTTACCAATGATTTTCCCCCAAAGCAATAGCTACTGAGGGTACAGCTAAAATGATAAAGGAGTGCATTTTGTGAAAAACCACTAATACTCTTATATATAGAGTCAGTAGATATTAATAAATATTACCTTTGGTGAGGGGTTTAGAGCTCAAAGGTGTAGAATTGCCAGTTCCACTCACTAAGGACCTGTCAATGGTAACAGGCAAGTGCCTACACTTTTGTGTTTGTTCGTCACCCGACAGTAGTGAGGAACAATCTCTGGCAGACTGGAGAAAGTCAGCGTTACATGTTTCTCTCTCTCTTTTTCTTTTTTTTTTTGAGACAGAGTCTCGCTCTGTCACGTAGGCTGGAGTGCAGTGGCACAATCTCGGCTCACTACAATCTCTGCCTCCTGGGTTCAAGACATTCTCCCGCCTCAGCCTCCTGAGCAGCTGGGATTCGGGCGCCCGCCACAACAACTGGCTAATTTTTATACTTTTAGTAGAGACAGAGTTTCGCCATGTTGGCCAGGCTGGTCTCAAACTCCTGATCACAAGTGATCTGACCACCTCAGCCTCCCAAAGTGTTGGGATTACAGGCATGAGCCACAGTGCCCGGCTGTTTTTTTTTTTTTTTTCGGATAGAATCTAGCTCTGTCATCCAGACTGGAGCACAGTGGTACGGTCATGGCTCACTGTAACCTCATACTCCTGGGCTCAAGTGATCATGTGCTTCAGCCTCCTGAGTACCTAGGACTACATGTATGAACTACCACACCTGGCTAATTTTTAAATTTTTTGTAGGGTCAGAGGCCAAGTGCCGTGGCTCACACCTGGCACTTGGGAGGCCAAAGTGGGAGGACTGCTTGAGCTCAGGAGTTTGAGAGCAGCCTGATTAACATGGTGAGACTCCATCTTCACACACACACACACAAAAACCAAGTGTAGAGTTCAAGACTGCAGTGAGCTAGGATCCCACCACTACACTCTAGCATGGGTGACAGAATGAGACTCTGTCCCAAAAAAGTTTCTTTAAAATAAAAAATAAAATAAAATAGTAGAGACAGAGTCTTGCTCTGTTGCTCAGGCTGGTCTTGAACTCCTGGCCTCAAAATATACTCCTGCTTCAGCCTCCCAAAGGATTGGGATTACAGGCATGAGACACTGTGCCCAGCCTACATGTTTCTTTGAAATAAGATACTAATGTAGGTCATTCAGAAAAGACTGGTCATTTATTATTATTATTATTATTATTATTATTATTATTATTATTTTAGACAGAGTTTTATTCTTTCACCCAGGCTGGAGTGCAGTGGCACAATCTTGGCTCACTGCAACCTCTGACCCCTGGGTTCAAACAATTCTCCTGCCTCAGCCTCCTGAATAGCTGAGATTATAGGTGCCTGCCACCATGCCCAACTTATTTTTGTAATTTTAGTAGAGATGGGGTTTCGCCATGCTGGCCAGGCTGATCTCGAACTCCCGACCTCGGGTGATCCACCTGCCTCAGCCTCCCAAAGTGCTAGGATTATAGGCATAAGCCACCTTGCCTGGCTGGCCATCTATTATTAAAGACCTATAGGATGTAGATCAGATTGTGTTATGAAAAAAACTATTCCAGACTTTAGAGTCCTTCTCCAAGACCCTGCCATACCTAATGGTAGTCTCATCTGCTATAATTTAAAGACATTTAATTAATAACGTATTGGTAAGGATTGAGAAATGGAAGCAATCATCCCACAGATAAACCCTAGACAGATATAACTGGATTAAAAAGTGCACTGCATGAGGAAAGCAACTGACACCTTGTCCTTGGGAAATACTGTATTCTTTAAAACAAGCAAAAATGCCAGACACATGTTATGATAATAGGATAAAATGGGAAAGTCTAGTTAGAGTGGTCACAACAGAAGGCTCGACTGGCTCTTTATATAAAGAAAAAGCTGAAGTAATGAAGCCAAAAGAAGTGGCATTACTTTTTGAAGACTCAGAAAGTAAACTTGGCATGTTTATTCTCAGTGCTCTGGTCCTTGGGCCCTAAAATACATAAAATAAGAATCCCTAGGTTTGTTCTGCTTTGGCATTAAGAGCTCTCACATCAGTCTTCTCTGGGCTAAGTGGTTCTAATTCTGTTAACAATTTCTCATGTGAACTATCAATCCACCAATTAACATGCTTCTCAGGCCCTTCTAAGAGATTACATACCAAAAAAGGGAAAATAACATCTGTGAAAAATTTACATGCGCCAGGTACCACTTTAGAAATTTTATGTTTTAATACTCACAAAAACCTTGTGCATGGAAGGTGGGGACTATTTCCTTCATTTTACAGATGAGGAAAGTGATACCCAGAGACTTGTCCAAGGTCACAGGCAGGGCTAGAATTTGAAACCAAGTCTATCTAAGGCCAAAGCCCACAGTACCCTTCAATGGCAGTGAGCAAAAGGTCCAATTACTCTGTCAGCCTCTGCTTATTTGGGATCTCCAGCATATTTTATGAAGACTTGTGGTTCTTCGGGTAGATGCATTAGTTTTCTGCCCATTTTCTCATAGTTTTGAGTGCTAGGAATCTGAAATCACATTGTTGTCAGGGTTAATTACTTATGAGGGCTACAAGAGAGACCGTGCTGCATGCCTTTCTCCTAGCTTCTAGTGGTTGCCAGCAACCCTTGCTATTTCTCGGCTTGTAGCTGTATCATTCCAGTCTGTGACTTCACCACCAGGAAGCATTCTTCCCCTGTCTGTGTCTGTATGTTTTTCCCTCTTCCTATAAGGATAGCAATCATCTTAGATTTATGATTCATCCTAATTCAGGATAATGTCATCTTAACTAATTATAGCTGCAAAGACCCTATTTCTATAAAAGGTCACATTCTAAGGTTCTAGGACATGAATTTGGGGGAACACTATTCAACCCAGTGTAGTCAGGAAGAAAGCTAGCATGACTGCTGAAAGGTTGTTTTCCAGCCCAGAAGTAAAATGCAAAAGTACGAGAAAGAACTAGTGATAAAGAAATAGGCTGAAGATATATCTGCTGGACGAATGAACTAGGATTGCTACTTTTTTTCCCTTTCTTTCTTCCTTTTTTTTTTTTTTTTTAGATGGAATTTAGCTCTTGTTGCTCAGGCTGGAGTGCAATGGCACTATCTCAGCTCACTGCAACCTCCATCTCCTCGGTTCAAGCTATTCTCCTGCCTCAGTCTCCCCAGTAGCTGGGATTACAGGCACCTGCCACCATGCCTGGCTAATTTTTTTTTTAGTATTTTTTAGTAGAGATCAGGTTTTACCATGTTGGCCAGACTGGTCTCGAACTCCTGACCTCAGGTGAACTGCCCATCTTGGCCTCCCAAAGTGCTGAGATTATAGGCATGAATCACTGCATCCGGCCTCCTCTTCTTCTTCCTTTTTTTTGGCCCATGGGTGCTACTAAAATGGATTGCTACTTTTTCTTATATATTTTCCGTAGTCTTTTTCTAGTTCTAAGCTATATCTCAGTCTCTAAATGTTCGACAAATTAATAGCAAAAAAAAGGATACTGCAAAAATCCAACTTATTTTTCTTCTCTCACTATAGTTTAGAGTATCAAGAGGATTTTTTTATTTTATATTTTTGTTAGAGACAGAGCCTCTCTATGTTGCCCAGGCTGGAGTACAGTGGCTATTTACAAGCACGATTATAGCTCACTGTAACCTTGAACTCCTGGCCTCAAGCAATCCTCCTGCCTTGGCCTCTCAAAGTGCTGCAATTAAGGTGTGAGTCACTGCACCCAGCCAATGTTTTAAAACTAAGAATGTAATATTTGTGACACACCTATTATACTCTAAAAATGCTTTGCTGTGTATAGTCAAGGAATTCTTGACCTGGAGTCCCAGGATAGTTGATGGAATCACTGAAATTACATAAATGTTTATGGTATCCTTGGCACATAGTGGTGGTATAAAAATTTGTTGAGTGTGGAAATGAATATTTTTAGGAGTGATGACAGAGTTCTCAAAATTCTGAAAGGGCTAGAGATCCCAAGAAGGGAAAACCTTACTGGCCTAGTGAGTTACTCTCTGTCTTGAATTTATGTAGTTCAGTAATCCCACAACCATTCCGCATTTGATTCTATTCATCTGTCCCATTTTCTTCTTATTCATACACTACTATGTCACAAGGGCAATAAGACAAGCATAAAGGAACCATGGATATTTAGAAAAAAGCTTGAAGGCAAGGATTGATAAAGGAGTAGGGATCATCTTTTTCACTGCCATTTAAAACTAACCCTGAATGAGGGCTCTACAAAGACAGAAATGAGTTACTGAGAGTGATTTGGAAGTCTGTGCTCAGGGGTGTTTAAGAAAAGGCATTTCCATTTGAAGGCAAGACATTGATCATAAGTTGGCAGTACAGAATATTTTCAGTACTCGATTCAGTTTAGCAGCACTAGGAGTCTTACATACTTTTGGTCAGGGCTTAAAGAATTACTCATTGAAAGATGGTTCAAAGAAAAGAAATGAAAACAAGGACTATGAAGGGGCCACAAACAATTTTTAAAATGAAAGGGCTTTCTCCAAATGGGTGACCATGGGAATCACCAGTGATCTCTTCACCTTTTACTTTTTCCTTACCTTTTCTATTTCATGTTGCAGGATTCCAATTTCATCTTCAAATTGGTTAATTCTCTTATCTCGTAGTTCTACTTCATTAGTTAAACGACACTTGACTTTTTGAAGCTTGATTTTGTGTTGGTGATGTTTCTCATTATAGTTTCTATAAAAGTAAATTTCAGTTTAGACACATCTGAACACAGTTAAAATTTATTTTGCCTCCTCAATATGGACCTTTCTTGGGTTTCTTCTTCTTCCTTAAGTCAGGGGCCTGGCACTAGATGTGGATACTTAGCCTGCCTCATATCTTCTTGCCTTCCATGTCAGGGAGTGGGCCAAGGTTAACTCCCTACATAACAGCAGCTTTAATTACTGCCGTGGACTCAAGTATCTGGCTTACCTTGGTCTTTTTTTTTGAGATGAAGTCTCGCCCTGTCACCCAGCCTAGAGTGCAGTGGCACAATCTCAGCTCACTGCAACCTCTGCCCTCTGGGTTCAAGCGATTTTCCTGCCTCTGGCTCCCAAGTAGCTGGGACTACAGGTGCCCGCCACCACACCCGGCCAATTTTTGTATTTTTTTTTTTCTTTTTTTGAGATGGAGTCTTGCTCTGTCACCCAGGCTGGAGTGCAGTGGCACCATCTCGGCTCACTGCAACCTCTGCCTTCCAGGTTCAAGCAATCCTCCCACCTCAGCCTCTTAAGTAGCTGTGATAGGCATATGCCACCACACCTGGCTGATTTTTGTATTTTTAGTAGATATGGGGTTTCACCACATTGACCAGGCTGGTCCTGACCTCTGGTGATCCACCCGCCTCAGTCTCCCAAAGTGCTGGAATTACAGATGTGAGCCATCGCACCCAGCCACTTTTTGTATTTTTAGTAGACATGGGGTTTTACCATGTTGGCCAGGCTGGTCCCGAACTCCTGACTTCAGATGATTCACCTGCCTCGGACTCCCAAAGTGCTGTAATTATAGGCATGAGACACTGTGCCAGGCCTACCTTGGTCTTGAACTGATGGTTGTGGTATAACTTTAACAGCTAAAGTTATATCAGAAATTTAGGAAACTCCTTGATTTTTGATCCCTGATATCTAAATTTTGACTCCTGCTTCACTAATTCAGTCATTAACTTAAAATTTCCTCATTCTTGGCTGTATCTTGGACAATGATATACTCACTTCAATCTTATCTAATTTTCCCTATGACTAGGCCTGTTCTCAGTCCTTCCATTGAGTCTGGACCTCTTCTTCTTCTTCTTTTTGTTGAGACAGAGTCTCACTGTGTCACCCAAGCTGTGGCGGTACAATCATGGCTCACTACATCCTCGACCTCCTGAGCTCAAGCAATCCTCCCACCTCAGCATCCCAAGTAGTGCACACCATCACACCTGGCTAATTTATTATTTATTTTTTATAAAGATGGTGTCTCGCATGTTGCCCAGACTGGTCTTGAACTCTTTGCTTCAGGCTATCCTCCTGCCTCAGCCTACCAAAGTGCTGGGATTACAGACATGAGCCACCCAGTGAATCTGGACTTCTAAAAGCCAATTCCATATAGGTCACTGTTCAAGACTCTGATTCTTATATACATCTAAGTTATGGCCAATAAGCACATGAAAAGATGCTTAACATTACTAGTCATTAAGGAAATGAAGATCAAAAGCACAATGAGATACGGCTTCGCACACACTAGGATGGCTAGAATAAAATGATGGATAATAACAAGTGCTGACAAGGATGGGAAGGAATGTAAAATGCAGGCAGGAATGTAAAACAGTATAGTCTCTTTGGAAAACAGCCTGGCAGTTCCTCAAATGGTTAAACATAGAGTTGTCATTTGACCCAGCAATTCTACTCCCTAGGTATATAATATTCAATATAACTGGGAAAACATATGTCCACACAAAAACTTATACACAAATGTTCATAGCAGCATTATTCATAACAGCCAAAAGATTTAAACAACCTAGATTGCCATCAACAGATGAGTGGATAAACAAATAGGGTATATCTAGCCAGGTGTGGTGGCTCATGTCTGTAATACCAGCACTTTGGGAGGCTGACGTGGGTGGATCACCTGAGGTCAGGAGTTCAAGACCAGCCTGGCCAACATGACGAAATCCTGTCTAAAATGAGCTGGGCATGGTGGCAGGTGCCTGTAATCCCAGCTACTTTGGAGGCTGAGGAAGGAAAATTACTTGAACCCAGGAGGTAGAGGTTGCAGTGAGCTGAGATTTGGCCACTGCACTCCAGCCTGGGCAACAGAGTGAGACTTCATCTCAAAAAACAAACCAACAAACAAACAAGCAAACAAACCAAATAGGGCATATCCATACAATGTGCTATCATTCAGTCATAAAAAGAAAGGAAGTACTGATACATGCTACAACATGAACCTTGAAAGCATTATTCTAACTAAAACAAGCCAGGCACAACAGACCAAATATTTTATGATTCCATTTATATGAAATGTCAGAAACAGGCAAATTTAGAGCGAAAGAAAGTAGATTAGTGATTGCCTGGGTCTGGTGGTGGGAAGGGAATTGGGGATAGAGTGATAGCGAAAAAGTATGAAGATTCTTTTAGGATGGTAAAGTGTTCTAATGTTGACTGTGGTAACAATAAAAAAATGGACAAAAGCCATTTTTTTAAAAGCCAAGAAAATGGATTAAAGCATCCATACTACCACTAGGCAAACCTCTTGGAGCATGACTGTGATACAAACAAAAAGAATATTGTTCTTTAAAATTACGGAGAAGCTTCTCAGGGGGCTGAGGCAGGAGAATTGCTTAAACCTGGGAGGTGGAGGGTGCAGTGAGCCAAGACCAAGCCACTGTTCTGTACTCTAGCACGGGCGACAGTAAGACTCTATCTTGAATAAATAAATAAATAACATAGGCTATACATTGTTCTTTTTTTTTTTTTTCAAACATTCTTGTTCTGTTGCTCAGGCTGAAGTGCACTACATGATCTCAGCTCACTGCAACTTTTGCCTCCTGCCTCCCAGGTTCAAGCAATTCTGGTGCTTTAGTCTCCTGAGTAGCTGGGATTAGAGGTGTTCACAACCACACCTGGCTAATTTTTGTATTTTTAGTAGAGATGTGGTTTTGCCATGTTGGCCAGGCTGGTCTCGAACTCCTAGCCTCAAGTGATCTGCCCGCCTCTGCCTCCCAAAGTGCTGGAACTACAGGTGTAAGCCAACATGCCTGGCCAGCTATACATTATTCTTTGTATCACAAATTTCAAGAACAGAAAACAATGAGTGAGGCAGCTGATCAGAAAGGAAGTGACTTCAAACAATTGCATTATAGGCCAAATGGACCTAATAGATACAGAACATTTCGTCCAATGGCTGCAGAATACACCTTCTTTTCCCCAGTACTTGTATCATTCTCAAAGATAAACCATCAGGTCACAAAACAAGTATTAAAACACCCAAAAAACTGAAATAATATCAAGCATCTTCTCTGACCACAATGGATTAAAACTAGAAATAAATAACAAGAGGAATTTTGGAAACTATACAAATACATGGAAATTAAACAACATGCTCCTGAATGACCAGTGGCCCAATGAAAAAATTAAGAAATTGAAAAATTTCTTGAAACAAATTATAATGGAAACACAACATACCAAAACCTACGGCATATAGCCAAAGCAGTAGCAAGAGAGAAGTTTATAGCTGTAAGTGCCTACATCAAAAAAAGAAAAACTGCAAATAAACAATCTAATGATGCACCTTAAAGAACTAGAGAAACAAGAGCAAACCAAATCCCAAATTAGTAGAATAAAAGAATTCATAAAGATCAGAGCAGAAATAAATGAAATTGAAATAAAGAAAACAATACAAAAAAATCAATGAAACAAAATGTTGGCTTTTTGAAAAGTTTAACAAAATCAACAAACTTTTAGCAGGGCTAAGAAAAGGAGAAGATCCAAATAAATAAAATCAGAGACAAAAATGAGATATTACAACTAATACCACAGAAATTCAAAGGATCATTAGTGGCTATTATGAGGAACTATATGCCAGTAAATTGGAAAATCTAGAAGAAATGAACAAACTTTGAAACACATACAGCATACCAAAGATTGAACCATGATGAAATCTGAAACCTGAACAGACCAATAACAAACAATGAGATCAAAGCCATACAAAAAGTTTCCCAGTAAAGAAAAGGCCGAGACCCAGTGGCTTCACTGCTGAGTTCTATCAAACATTTAAAGAAATAATACCAATCCTACTCAAACTATTTTGAAACATAAAGGAGAAGGAAATACTTCCAAACTCATTCTCCAAGGCCAGTATTATCCTAATACCACAATCAGACAAAGATACATACAGAAAAACTGCAGGCCAATATCACTGATGAATATTGATACAAAAATCCTCAACAAAATAGTAGCAAACTAGTTGCATGTGGTGGGCTCATATCTGTAATCCCAGCACTTTGGAAGGCTGAGGCAGGGGGATAGCTTGACCTCAGGAGTTTTGAGACCAGTTTGGATAACATAGCAAGACTCCATCTTTACAAAAAATAAAAAATTAGTCAGGCATTATGGTGCATATCTGTGGTCCCAGCTACCCAGAAGGCTGAGGTGGGAGGATTGCTTGGGCCTGGGAGGTGGAGGTTGCAGAGAGCCAAGATCATACCACTGCACTCCAGTCTGGGTGACAGGGTGAGATCCTGTCTCTAAATAAATGAAAAAGCTAGCAAACTGAATTCAACAATGCCTTGAAAAGATCATCATGACCGAGTGGGATTTATCCCTGGGATGCAAGGATGGTTCAACATACACAAATCAATCAGTATGATACATTGTATCAACAGAAGGACAAATGATATGATACATCATATCAACAGGACAAAAACCATATGAATTCAGTTTGCTAGCTTAATTCAGATGCTGGAAAAGCATTTGATAAAATTTAACATCCCTTCATGATAAAAACTCTCAAGAAACTGGGGATAGAAGAAACATACCTCAATATAATAAAAGCCATGTATGACAGACCTACAGCTTGTATCATACTGAATTTGGGAAAACTGAAAGCCTTTCCTTGAAGATCTAGAACATGACAAGGATGCCCACTTTCACCAGTTATTCAACATAGTACTTAAAGTCCTAGTTCGAGCAATCAGACAAGAGAAAGAAATAAAGAACATCCAAATTGCAAAAGAAGAAGTCAAATTATCCTTGTTTGCAGATAGCATAATTTTATATTTGGAAAAACCTAAAGACTCCACTAAAGAAGTACTAGAACTCATAAACAAATTCACAAAAGTTGCAGAATACAAAATTGACATACACAAATCAGTAGCATTTTTATATGCCAACAGGGAACAGTCTGAAAAAGAACTTAAAAAACAATTCCATTTACAATAGCCAGACATAAAATTAAATACCTAGGAATTAGGTTAAACAACAAAGTGAAAGATCTCTATACTGAAAACTATAAAACATTAATGAAAGAATGGAAAGATATTCCATGTTCTTGGAATGAAAGAATCGATATTGTTGAAATGTCTATGTTACTGAAAGCAATCTACAGATTCAATGCAATCCCTACGAAAATATCAATGACATTCTTCACAGAAATAGAAAAAACTATCCTAAAATTTATATGAAACCACAAAGGACCCAGAATAGCCAAAGCTATCCTAAGCAAAAAGAACAAAACTGGAAAAATCACATTACATGGCTTCACATTATACACAGAGCTATGATAACCAAAATGGTATGGTACTAGCATAAAAACAGATGCATAGGCCAATGGAACAGAATAGAGAACACAGAAACAAATCCACACACCTACAGTAAACTAATTTTTGACAAAGGTGCCAAGAACATGCACCAGGGAAAGACAGTCTCTTCAATATATTGTGCTGGGAAAACTGGATATCCATATGCAGAAGAATAAAACTAGATCCTTATCTCTCACTACACACAAAAGTCAAATCAAAATGGATTCAGGACTTAAATCTAAGACCTCAAAGTATGAAACTACTTTAAGAAAACATTAGGGAAACTCTCCAGGATATTGGTCTATGCAAAAATTTCTTGAGTAGTACCCCAGAAGCACAGACAACCAAAGCAAAACTGGACAAATGGAATTATATCAAGTTGAAAAAATCTTCTGCACAGCAAAGGAAACAATCAACAAAGTGAAGTGACAACCCATAGAATGGGGAAATATTTGCAAACTACCCATCTGACAAGGGATTAATAACCAGAATACATAAGGAACTCAAACAACGCTGTAGGAAAAAATCCAATAATCTGATTTAAAAATGGTCAAAAGATTTGAGTAGACATTTCTCAAAAGAAAACATACAAATGGCAAACAGGCATATGAAAAGGTGCTCAACATCACTGATTATCAGAGAAACGCAAACCAAAACTATAATGGGATGTCATGTCACCCCAGTTTAAATGGCTTTTATCCAAAAGGCAGGCAATGACAAATGCTGATGAGGCTGTGGAAAAAAGAAAACCCTCATACACTGTCAATGGTAATGTAAATTAGTACAACCACTACGGAGAACATCTTGGAGGTCCCTCAAAGAACGAAAAATTGAGGCTAGGTGTAGTGGCTCATGCCTGTAATCCTAGCACTTTGGGAGGCCAAGGCGGGTGGATCACTTTAGGAGTTCAAGACCAGCCTGGCAAACATGGCAAAACCCCCATCTCTACTAAAAATACAAAAAAAAAGTCTGAGCATGGTGGCTTACACCTGTAATCCCAGCATTTTGGGAGGCCTAGGCGGGCGGATCATGAAGTCAGGAGTTTGAGACCAGCCTGGCCAATATGGTGAAATCCTGTCTCTACTAAAAATACAAAAATTAACTGGGCATGATGGCATGTGCTTATAGTCCCAGCTACTTGGGAGGCTGAGGCAAGAGAATCATTTGAACCCAGGAAGCAGAGGTTGCAGTGAGCCAAGATTATCCCACTGCACTCCAGCCTGATGACAGAGCAAGACTCCATCTCAAAAACAAAACAAAACAAAACAAAACAAAAAGTCAGTTGTAGTGGTGCACACCTGTAATTTCAGCTACTCAGAAGACTGAGGCAGAAGAATTGCATGAACCTAGGAGGCAGAGGTTGCAATGAGCCAAGATGATGTGAGACTGTTTCAAAACAAAAACAATAAAACCTAAAAATTGAGCTATCATACATTTGAGCAATCCCACTGCTGAGTATATAACCAAAAGAAAGGAAATCAGTATATTGAAGAGATATCTGCACTCCCATGTTTGTTGCAACACTGTTTACAATAGCCAATATTTGGAAACAACCTAAATGTCCATCAAGAGATGAATGGATAAAGAAAATATGGCTTGGGGAGCGCCGCGTGGCGTTAGTGTGGGCTGCTTTTGGCATGGCGGCGTTTTCTGGTCCGGCTGCGCCAGTCTTGTCGCTTAAGAAGATGTCGAGTTTCAAAAGGAGGTGGCGCAGGTTCACAAGCGCGTAACCCAGGGAAAAAAACAAGGACAACTTACTCCTGGAGTCGTCTGTGTGCACCACCTGCCTAACCCACTTGAGGAAACCCAGATCTTTTCCTATTTCTCCCAGTTTGGCACTGTGACACGGTTCAGACTGTCCAGAAGTAAAAGGACTGGGAACAGCAAAGGCTATGCATTTGTGGAGTTTGAGTGTAAGGATGTTGCCAAGATAGTTGCTGAAACAATGAACAACTACCTGTTTGGTGAAAGACTCTTGGAGTGTCGTCTTATGCCACCTAAGAAAGTCCATAAAGAACCCTTTAAAGACTGGAATGTTCCATTGAAGCAGCCGTCATATCCATCAGTGAAACGATTTTACAGAAAACGGAAAAGTATTTCAAAAACTAATTGTCAGAAGTCTACAAAAGGCCAGGTTTTACGTAAGAAGAAGAAAAAGGTTGTAGGCACTCTTGACACTCCTGAGAAGACTGTGGATAGCCAGGGCCCCACACCAGTTTGTACACCAACATTTTGGAGAGATGAAAATCTGAAGTGACTGAAATGAATGAAGATGATAAAGATAATGAACCAGTTTTCAAACAGCCCGTATCCTGTGTAAAAGAAGAAATACAGAAGACTCAAACACCTACACATTCACGGGAGAAAAGACGAAGGAAAAGCAATCAGTCATTTTTAATGTATTGTATTTTCTGAGAAATACAATATTTTTATGGGGGTGGACTTTGTATTTTACTAGGTACAGTGAAATGCAACCCGTGACAAGATTGTCAGAGGAAAAATACACTGTTTGGTCCAGTTAAGGAAAGCAGTCTGTAATTTTAGATTGCCTGCCCTTGGCTGAAATACAAGGGTGCAGACCGGTTTGCAGTGGCTTGGCTGACATTGCCTCTTTGTCCTGTTCTCTATTTTTCTTTTGACATTTCCTAGCTCTCCTTAGTTACTCTGCCTGGATAGAAAGGTGACCACTAAGTGCAGGTTTAAGTACAAAACTGCAGCCTTTTCTGTCACCACCAGTTAAAGACCACCAATTTTGTTTGTCCGTCTGCATGATTTGTCAGGGACATTAACTCATGAGGGTGCTTTAGATTTCAACATCAGATGGTTGAAGCTGGAAGTTAAATTATATGCAGAGTGAGAAGGCAGTTCCAGTGTTAGCACAGATTTATGTATTCAGATTTTAATAGAGATTAAAAAAATGACTCATTTTTATGAATAATTTTAAATTAGTTTTCATTGGGCTAGCATGGATTAATAACCACCATTTTATACTAGTATCATCAGTGAGGAATTGTATTTCTTTTTTTTTTTTTTTTTTTTTTTATACGGTGTTTTGAGACGGAGTTTCGCTCTTGTTACCCAGGCTGGAGTGCAATGGCGCGATCTCGGCTCACCGCAACCTCCGCCTCCTGGGTTCAGGCAATTCTCCTGCCTCAGCCTCCTGAGTAGCTGGGATTACAGGCACGTGCCACCATGCCCAGCTAATTTTTTGCATTTTTTTAGTAGAGACGGGGTTTCACCATGTTGATCAGGATGGTCTCGATCTCTTGACCTCGTGATCCACCCGCCTCGGCCTCCCAAAGTGCTGGGATTACAGGCGTGAGCCACCGCGCCCGGCCGAGGAATTGTATTTCAAGATTCAAACAATAACTAGCAAATAAACTTTTTTCTACAAAAAAAAAAAAAGAAAATATGGCTTTATACACAATGGAATACTATTTAGTCATAAAAAAGAATGAGATCCTGTCATTTGCAACAACATGGATGGACTGGAGGTCATTATGCTAAGTGAAATAAGCCATGCACAGAAAGACAAACATCATATATTCTCACTTATTTGTGGGATCTAAAAATCAAAACAATTCAACTCATGGAGATAGAGAGTACAAGGATGGCTATGAGAGGCTGAGAAGGGTAGTGGGGGAATGGGGGGAGGTGGGGATGGTTAATGGGTATAATTACATAAAAAACCAGTTCTTTATAAGAAATAATTAAAGAGGCTGGGTGTGGTGGCTCACACCTGTAATCCCAGCACTTTGGGTGACTAAGGTAGGTGGATCACCTGAGGTCAGGAGATTGGGACCAGCCTGGCCAACATGGTGAAACACCCTCTCTACTAAAAATACAAAACTTAGCCAGGCATGGTGGTGGGCATCTGTAATCCCAGCTACTCAGGGGGCTGAGGCACGAGAATCCCTTGAACCCGGGAGGCAGAGTTTGCAGTGAGCCAAGATCGCGCCACTGCACTCCAGTCTGGGTGACAGAGTGAGATTTTGTCTCAAAAAAAAAAGTTAAAGAACGAATAAGACTATAGTCAATAATAATTGTACTTTTTTTTCTTTTTTTTAAATTGTACATTTAAAAATAACTAAAGAAATAGGCCAGTTCCAGTGACTCACGCCTGTAATCCCAGCACTTTGGGAGGCTAAGGCAGGAGAACTGGTTGAGCACATAGGTTCGAAACCAGCCTGGGCAACATAGTAAGACCCTGACTCTACAAAAATAAACAAAATTAGCCAGGTGTGGTGGCACAAACCTGTAGTCCCAGCTACTTTGGAGGCTGAAGTGGGAGGATCACTGGAGCCCAGGAAGTCAAGGCTACATTGAGCTGAGATTGTTCCACTGTACTCCCAGTCTGGGCAACAAAGCAAGACAAGAAAGAAAGGAAAGGAAAGGAAACGGGAAAGGGGAAAGGGGAAGAAAGAAAGGAAGGAAGAAAAAGAAAGGGAAAAGAAAAGAAAAGCGAGAAAAGCCAAATGAGCATAATCATATTCTTTGTAACACAAATGCCTGAGGTGATACGTACCCCCCGGCCCATGATGTGATTATTACGCATTGCATTCCTGTATCAAAACATCTCATGTACTGCATAAATATACATACCTACTATGTACCTATACAAATTAAAACTAAAATTTTGCTTATAAACCCACTTGTAACTGCTGCTAATCAGATTGTATATTCAGGGCAACTTGAATGTATGCTCCTGAGTTGCAATCTCTAAGCTTGGATCAAATAAACGCTCTACTTATATTAATTTTGCCTCAGCTTCTTCCCTTTAGGTTGACAATGCCTACCTCATGAAGCTTTCAAAAAAGCCCAAAAGAACTGGGTTTGGAAGACTTCCAAATAGCTGAACACAGGTTCCTGGAGGGTGGTGCACCCAGAGAGGGCATAGAGCCTCCAAGCCCCTTCATGGAAAGGGATGCTGTGCTCTTTGCATCTCTTCCACCTGGCTGTTCATCTGTGTCATTTGTATTATCCTTTGTAATAGATGGGTAATATAAGCAAGTGTCTTTCCTTGAGATCTGTGAGCTGTGTGTCTTTTTCCTTAGCTGATATTAACCTGTATCCTTTCACTGTAATAAGCCATAACCATAGCTGTTTTTCTGAGTTTTGCACTTCATTCTAAGGAGTCATGAAACCTGAGGGGAGTCTTGGCAATTCCTGACAGACAAGTTAGGTTTTTTTTTTTGGCCCCTCATATTGTGCCACCTGCTTTGAATAACTGTGCTCTGCTCAAACTATTTGAGATCCTGAGCCACAGTTGTCTGTAGGTATTTCCCTGCACTCGTTTGAACTTCCCTGCAGGCAGCTCTTCTTCATGTATTGTAGTTCAAGTTTACATGTGTTTCCTAGTTTTATAAAAAGTTGTTTTTTAAATTTTCATTTTAGGTGTGGGGGGTACATGTGAAGGGTCGTTACGCAGGTCAAAGTGTGTCACAGGGGTTTGTTGCACGTATTATTTCATCACTCAGGTGCTGAGCCTATACCCAACGGTTACTTTCTGCTCCTCATTCTCTTCCCCTACTCCTCAAGGAGACCTCAGTATCTGTTGTTTCCTTCTTTGTGTTCAAAACCTCTTATCATTTAGCTCAAGAAAAGTTATTTAAAAGAGGTTATACTAAAGAGAAGAATCTGACCCCAGAGCCTATGATCTTCCCATCATACCCTACTGCTACAATACTAGCAAAGGCAGGCAAACAGATATCCCCGATTTCTCCTGACATACATTTCATTTTGTACAAGAACTAGCAACCAGATGGGATTGGAAGAAAAAAGCAGACTTCTCTAGATGCTAATTTTAGTTAAACTGGTATGGAAGAACTACTCCAAGGGAATCTTCTGTCCTTGTAAGTTGAAGGAAATGAAAATATTTCACTCCAAAGTACATTTCCTTGATATATTTCAAGATACCTATTCAGAATAGCTGGATATACAAAAATAGTTGAAAATCTGTCTTTTGTGGGAGTAATGGGAAGTGGGGAGGGATACGGAGAATACCTGCAGCCAGGCTTTCTCTGAGTGCCTTCCTTCCCTTGTCTAGATCTAAGAAAGATTAACCGAGAGTCTGAAACCTCTAAAGGTGTGAAAGCAAGATTGACCATCTATTCTCCCTGAGGGCTGCTATAATATCTGTGACGTTTCAGCTACATAAAAAGACCACCTTTGCTAGGGTGGCCTCCTTCTCTCCCCTTCCCATAACCTGTTTTGCAATTATCTAAGTCCCCATTCTTTCTGTAATCTCAATATGGTGTATAACCTTCTATACCCCATTGGAGACTGGGGTAATCATTCTGTGGTTCTCCCCCATGCAGATTAATAGACCTGCATACTATTTCTCCTATTTATCTGCCTTTTGTCAGTTGATTTTTTCAGTGAACCTTCAGAGGGTAAAGGAGAACTTTTCACTTGGCCCCTGCAAAGTTATGTCTTACTCTGAAATGCATTTTTGCAAGACTTCTCCATTTTCCAAAATAGTCCACCTCTTTCTCCTACTTGCTAAGGGTACATAAAAGAGTCATTTTGCATGTTTTCCTTGAAGAGATTAATTTAGCTGTTAGTCAGATACCAAACTGAGCAGTTTGGCTTCCTGCAGGCCAGAGGCAAGTATACAAAGCTAGATATAGCTTGCTTGTCAGTGTATGTGGCAGTGACTGACTGCTGGGGTTGTACCCAATCCAATTTCTCCTTCTTCTACATTATAGACCCCGATTTTTTTGCTGGGCACTGGTTTACTCAGCATAGGAACTCTATTTTTTGGCTTTCCTTGCAGTTAGATGAGGCCATATAAGTGCGTTCTGGCCAACAGAGTATGAATGGAAATAGTGTGCCTTAAAGGAAAATGGAATGCCCTTGCCTTCCCCTCTTTCTTTCTTACTGGTTTGAAATGTGGATATGGTAGTGAATTATTTTGAACTATGTGGATAAGGGCAACATGTTAAAGATGTTGAAGCAATAACAAGATAGAGGGAGCCTAGGTACTTGACACATTGAGCCACCATCAGCACCTGCTACATAATATGAGGCACATACTTTTGCAGACTGTGTTCACAATTACCATAGCTGGGACTTAGATTCTTTACAAGGAGGTATTCTTTACAAAAATGTACACTTCATAAACATTCTCATTCTCTTTTTTACTAGGAATATTTGTTAAAATATATAAGTGGTTTTCAGCATCCTCCAGTCTAAAATTTCGGAGACGTAAGATCTAGCAGTGTACCTGCCATGCTCTGGCTTTCCCAGCTGTTCACAGTTGCTCTGATGTTTTGACATCATTTATAACACAACATGTACTTCTGAAACTGTTTTTGCAAAAGTTATAACTGAGGAAATTATGATAGTGAAAGAGACCTGACCTAACCAATTCTGTCTTGCTTCTAACCTCCAAGCTGTCCTTGTTCATTCCTAGGCGTAGGTCCAACTAACTTTGGGAGAAACTGAGTTTATAGTTTAACTTTGAAACAAACTTGTTAACAGCTCTTTTCCAAAATAAACCCCCTTCTAGCCTGGGGACTAGACTGCCTTTGCCAGACTAACAAATTAGCCACAAGATTAGAAATTACGGTTTAAGAGTCAGTGTT